TGGCCCAGAAGCCCCTCCTCTGTGCCAGGAGCAGTGGGACAGAAGGTGGCCCAAAAGCCCTTTCCTCTGGGCTGGGAGCAGTGGGAGGGATGGTGACCAGGAAGACCCTTCCTCTGGACCAGGAGCAGTGGGACGACAGCTCAGAAGCCCCTACCTCTGGCCCAGGAGCAGCGGGACTCAGTACCTTGGTCTGGTGATCTGGTGTCCTCTGTGTCTTTGTAGTGTGGAACCAGGTGGCTGCCTGTCTGCAGCAGGGTGATTCGGCATCTTCCGCAGGACTCTGTAGTTTGTTATTTTTCTGGAGAATATGCTCAACCCTGTTACTTTGGGGGACTCTGTAACCATGCTTTGAAATAAATTTCCTGGCTGTGGATTTGTTCCCCTTAGCAAGAGAGTTGGAATCCATGAGCTGGGGCAGGAAGATCACAAGTTCCAGACCAGCTGAGGAAATTTAGGGAGACTCTGCCTCAAAATCTTAAAAAAGGTGGAGCTAGGATGTAGCATAGCGGTAGAGTGCTTGCCTGCCCATATGTGAGGCTCTTTGTCCAATCCTCAGTTTCCCCAAAGGAGAAAAAAAGTGCCATTTCAGCTAGCATGGGAAAATGCAGCCTATCCAGGATTAATGGGACAGATGGGGAGTTTTTGAAGGGGTGATTGGAAAGACCATTGAAGAATGTCATATAAGCAAACATTTTGTTTATGTACCAGTTCCCCAAGATGAATGTAATTACTGTGTATCACAGGAAAAAATGCCAGGCGTGGTGGTGCACACCTGTAATCCTAGTCCTTGGGAGACAGAGGCAGGAGGATTACTGCACGTTCAACGCCAGCCTGGACTTATGTATGAGACTTGTCTTAAAAAAAAGAAAGGAAAAATATAATTGAATACTTTTACACTAATGACACCTGGTACCATCACCTTTCCAAGTGTCCAAGGTTTCAACATCCATGATAGTCATGTTGATATTGTGCAGTGACATAAGGAAGTGAAACAGGCACGAGACATTTATGATATTCTTCCCAAACCAGCACCCTCGACTGATCACAAGAACATACAAGAGAAGCCCGTACCAAACAGCATTCTTCAGGAGTGCCAGGGTCGTGTGAGGTTAATCCAGTCTAAGGAGCTGCCCAGGGTGAGTCCACCCAGAGATGTAATAACTAAAGCAATGCACTTCCCACATCACACCTTGTAACAGAATAAAAAAGATGTTAGTGGAAAAATAGGTGAACCTGAATAAAAGCTGTAGTTTATTGTTGCAGCAGTGTTTCAATAGAATGCTGTGGTTACATTAAGTATATTTTATTCCTGTGCCATGGTTATAAGAAAACCCGAGTACAGCTCCTATGTAAATCTAACATTATTTTAAAATGAAGTATTTTTTGTTATTTTAAAATTATCTCTGTACTTCCGGGCAATTTATTCCTAAAAATATTGTCTCCCCTAGGAGACCACTTCTGCCCTCTTACATCCCAGCAATTCCCTAGTCTTGGGGTAGAGTCGCTTGGGCCCCTCTGAACCGGGACCTGGTGTGTTTGGGGGGGGGGGTGGATAGGGAGGCAGTTTAACCACGGCCGCATGCAGGGCCACAGAGGTGGGATCCAGGGTCACAGAGCCTAAGGCATGAGGTCAGGCTGGAGCAGACTTTCCTCTGGAAAGCGTGAAAGAGCCATTCAAGAATGATGGGGTAAACATGGCATCCCAACATGATGTTTTGCAAATTGTAGCCAAAATCCCCTTACCCAGTTGAGGGAAAAATCTGCCACTCAAAAGTGTAATATGACACATGAACACGGAAATCCAGGGTCACGTGTGGAAGTGTGACCTGGGCAGCCTCTCCAGTTCAGAGGAGGGCTGTGCTGGAGTAATGGACTCTGCGGGGAGCGGATGTCCAGCCTCATGTTCAGCAGACAGAAACCACAACCAGCAAGCACAGTGGGCATCTCACAGACAGTGCAAAATTGGTTGGGACCAGGGGCTAAAAAGCTTACCCGTCTGCCCCAGGAGGCGGGGTTTAAGGGTCACCCCTGCCGTGCGGACTGACGTACAGTGATGTTATCGTCTGTGTCCAGGTAACTCACTATAAGTCACTCCTGCTGGTGCTGCTTGATAATTTGGAACCTAAGATCCCCTATGGTTGATGTAAGATTTCTCTTGAATGGGTGGACCGGTTGTTTACAATTCTGCTTTCAGTTTCCTGTTAGGCAGTCTGCCTAACAGGACTGTCTGTAGATGCGGGTAGGCTGAGTCAGTCACAAGCAAGCAAACAGTTTTGTTTTTATTGCTGGTACCCACAATATTAGTGGATGAAGTGTTTCATGAAATGCTGCTTGTTTTAGGCAAAATTTCTTTACCATGATATGCTTTGACCTAGACCAGTAGTCCACAGATTTCCCATAAAGGGCTAGATGGTGCCCCTTCCCCCCAAGGTCAGGAGGCCTTGCAGCTGCACCTCCACGGTGTGTTTGTCCATGCTTCTCTCCTAAGCAAGCTTTTTTAAATGTGAGTGTTTCCTGTCCTTCCTGGTGTTTCCATGTTTTGTGATAGTGCCTGAGGTTTGGAAGACTTGCTTTATTTAAACAATGGTCTTTGATGACATTTCTGGCTGGAGCTTGATAGCACTGGCAAAGGATGTGTAATCTTGACCTTCATGAATTTGTACAAAAATGAATGTGCAGTTGATGTCTTATTGCAGGCATTTTGGTACATTGATAGGAGATAATCTCCCTAAATATGACACTTGTAAAACCTATCATGCTTAGAAAACTTGCTATCCAGAAATTACGGGTCTCATTTTCAATTTCAAATCAATATTTTTGTGAGTCATGTTTTATTTCTAAAGAAATGTCATTATATAACTTACTTTATATGTCAATATCTGGCTGTGGTAACCTGTTTCTTTTAAAAGATCCGTTATTTTTTCATCAGATTTGTTTTATGATTATGTTATAGTTTCTTCTTCTTGTATATACTTGAGCTCAAACCTTCCTTGGATGTGAGTTGAGTTTTCACCAATTCTGCCCCAAACCATCCTTCACTAGACTCCAATAGGCGATCTTTAGGATACTAAGCTGTTCGTGGGTTTTCTGTGGAAAAAACAGCCAGATTCCCCTAAAAGGCTTAATTTGTTGCTCGATAGGCTGTGGTTTTGCTACCTCACACAGTTTTTCTGAATGGGTACCTAAGCTTAGGCATTTAAAAATTTGAACTTTATTTCTTCAGTTTCCAGTTTTAATAACATTCTGTCAAATAATCTTTGTAACTCTTCCTTTCTCTAAACAATGAATGCTTAACCCAGCTGACAAATTTACAGTTTTACCATTAAAAGCTCACTTAATGTTTGTTTTCACCCTGGCTCTCTAAAAAGTATTTTCTCTCACACAGTACTTGGAATTGTCAATATTTTCCAAAATAATTTTAACAAGATAAATTGTTAGGGGAGCATGCACATACAATTTTAAAATCAATGTTTTGTTGAAAGGGAGCATGTTGGCTCAATAGGTAGCTGATTGGGTTTTAAAGCAGCTTTTCCTGTTTCGATTGGTAAAGTTTAAAAAAGTCTCCTGATGGTTCTCTTTTGAGATATTTTGAATTCTGCACTGCCATTTTTCTGGGAGGCTGAGCAGAAGGATGCAAGTTTGAGGCCAGGCTGGACAACTTATGAGACCTTATCTCAAAATAAAGAGAAAGGGAAGGGCATGTGTGTATATATATGTAAAATCTCAGTGTAAAGGCCCCGGGTTCAAACCCCAGTTCCACAATAACAAACAAAAAACAACTTGTATCTTAACCAAATGATGTTTGTTTGTTTATGTTTTGTTACTGGGATTTAATCCAAGGTTGCTATATCATTGAGTTACTTCCCCATCCCTTTTTATATTCATTTTGCGGCAGTCTTGCCAAGTTACCCAGGAGGAGGGACTTAACTTGCAGTTCTCCTGCCTCAGCCTCGCAAGTGCTGGGGTTATTGGTGTGCACCACCAGGCCCAGTTCCAAATGAATGTCTCTTACCTGGCCTAAACTGACTCAGTCACAGTGAATTCCTGGTAGAAATTTTATTTTCTCTTATGCAGATTTCAGTCCATTGCTGATGTCACCAGGCCAGCCACAAGAGAGGGAAAGTTTCATGTATAAAGACCAAACTGAAAGATCTTTGAAATTGAACTTAATAACTTCTTATACAAAAGCAAAAGACTAATCTTTTCCCCTTTGTCTATGTCTCAGCATGATTTCTGTGTTTTAAAGACTGTCTTGGCTCCTGAGTTCTAAATAACGCGACAGTGTCATCTGTACAGTCTCATCCTCTCTCTCTGGAAAACGAGGTCACCCTGAGCGTCTGTCGTGACACTGTGGGGAGTGTGAGTGAGCCCCTGGGTGAGAGGTCGTGTGTCAGGGCAGCTGTCACGCTGGTGCTCCTGCTTTGTCCTTTTGAGGCGCTGGATGACAGGTGACGAGTAGAGCCTGGGAAGAGTCGCTGCTAACAGATGAGCACTGGGCCCACCTGTCCTCCCCTCCCAGGTCGAGGCAGTGGCATCTGCCCTTTGCAGCCCTGCGGAGCAGTCTGTGTCCCTGTGCTTTAGGAAGTTGCCAGTGCACTGGGTGAGAAGCCTCCCCAGGGAAGGGCATTTCTATACTCAGCTTTGGAACTGTGACTGCTTTGGTTTCTTGCAGTCAGGAGAAATGTAACTTGGCAAACAGAGCTGTCCTCGCCATCGTATTTACCTCCTTTTCTCTCTGAACTCACAGGCAGCAGTACACGTCCAAAGGTCGCTCTGGTCCCACCGTGTCTGACAAGCAGCACGACCACACTGGTTAACCAGAATGTGTCGGAAGAGGCTCAGGGAATAAATGGGAAGACACGAGCGAAACGCTGTGCTCCGAGTCCAAAGCCGCAAGGTAGGTGCTGGGGTTGGTGATCGAGTGGTGCTTTGTTGCCCAGTGCTGACTGGAGAATGATGACCACAGGAGGACGTTAATCTGTAGAAGGGGAAAGTCGTACATTTTCCCCCAGAAGAGTGTCAGTGTGTAAACCTCCTGAGGCGCAGAGGTCGGATTTGCTCTGCTTCTAAAACATTGCGTTACTTTTCTGTATTAGGGGCCTTTTCACTTTGCTGCAATTGTTTGCATGTCCCCTTAACTCGTGATCTCTTCACACCTTGTGCCTACCCAAGTGCGGGACCCGACTGACCATCTGTATAATAAATGCGGTTAGAACTAACATCAGCAAGAAATGACTTGCTAGATGTCAGAGAGTCTGAATCAGGTAATTCTGAAACAGTGCTTAGCATACTTATTGAGAGCTTGATTGGGTGGTGGCATGCAGCCTCAAAAGTGCCTTTTGGAAATGTTGTGCACGAAATACAACATTAACAGCCCCTTCATTCACTATGAAATGGCCAACAAGGGGGAAAAATAAACATGATGGTGGAAGGCTTTGTTCAGTGACCATTTACGTGTACAAAGAAATTTCCGGTGAACTGAGTATTAACTTTGAGAAACACGAAATTACAGTCTTGATGGTAGAGAACAAGGTCTTTTGAAATCTAGTACAAAAGCTAAGCTACACTGTGGCTTTTTCCCCTTGGGAGTTTTACATATGGATACGCTGTGGCTTTTAATGTACAGTTTTTTCCTATTAGGTTTTCATTTATAATGAATGCTGAACATTCATCTAAGAAACAATACCTAGGCATTCTCAGAATTACTGTACTTTAGAAAAATCAATTTCTGTTTTGTTTCTTTTGTATTTGCTTTAGTTTCTTTCCTATTGCTAAGAAAAAAAGTGTACAGGAGAATATATTATAAATGAACTGGTGTTATTATTTAAAGTTCTCTTTGTTAAGTTTTTCAGAAATCTTTAAAATGAGTTTAAAACGGGAATCTTCTAGGTTATAGGATATTTGCCTTTTTGTTCTCACTACTAGCTGTATTTGTGGTGGTGTGGTATATGACTATCAGTTCAATGGAGATTGAAATGATTAGTCCATTCATGAGCGTATCACCTTTTCCTTTGGGCATACTCCTCATAACAATGGTGTGAAAACAAATGCAGAGTATTTCTTGACCTTTATTTAAGCTATTTTATTTGCAAAATACAAAATTCTACTTTTCTCATCAGACCTGAGTTGATGAGGATCAAATATTATGTAAGACTACAAGAAGTGACAATTTCAGTTCATGTAATTGTCCAGGTCAAAAGCAAGCATTTCTTTATTTTAACAGCCCCTTCTCTGAAGATACATCTCATTACTTCATGGTTTTCACAGTCAGTGTATTGAGAAAAATTAAATCAGCATCTTCCCTGAGCTGCTGAGTGCCAAAATAGTCCTGTATTTAGGGAGACAATACTTGACCTCCATTTTACTCTTTTGTACTTACAGTAAAGTAAGTATATTGCTATTTATTTTCTTATTACTTCCTATCTTAAGTATGTATTACATACACTTTTCTATAATGCAGGGAATATTTCCACACACTAAGTAAATCACACATCCCAAACATCCTTTCAGTGTTTGCCCCTTCCCTGGCACCCATAGCTAAACTTAACCTTGTCCTTAACCCTAACATTTTATATTTTCCCGTCTTAGTCTGTTTGGACTTCTTTAACAAAATACCATAAGCTCACTGTCTTACTTGTCCCCGTTCTGCCGGCGGGAAGTTGGGGTCAGGGCTGGCAGGTTTGCTGTTGGGGAGGCCGGCTTTCTGGCTTGCACCAGGTGGCCTATAGGCGGTCTGGCTGGCAGTGTGGCTGGCGTGGTGTCAGGTGTACCAATCCCGTTGTGACAGTTAGGCCCTCATGGCTGAATCACATTCTCGTACTGGCACGTGGAGGCAAAAGTGTCAGCTCGAATTTGGTGAGGACATGAACATTTTGGCCGTCGCATTCCACCTGTGGTGTGTTCTGCTCAGCCCACTTGGTTTTTCTGTTTTGCATTACTGCACACCCTCATGCCGCAGGTCTACAACACCACTCGTCACCACATGGCTCCCGCTTTGTTGCTGCTGTCCTTTAAAACCTCACGTGTGCGCTGTGCAGGGGCCAACATCCCTGAAAAATGGCTACTGCTTAATATTGTCACATGAGCTGCCAGATGGATCGGGTCATGATTTACTGACCAACAGTAGTGGAGAGAGAAGCTACTTTTTGTTTCTTCTGACTCTTCCAAGCATTCGAGTACCAGATGCAGAGAAGGGAAGCGGGCACCAGTTGGGGACCTCCTGCGTAGAACCAGGGATGAGCACACTGACTCCTTTCTCCCCAGGTGTCGCAGATCTCGTAGATTGTGAGGCCTGAAGGTGCAGAGGCTGAAGAGCCACTGTGTAATTTCATGGAATTAAGACTCATTCAGGATCAGTAATTCTCAGCCAGAGTCAAGTTTGGCACCCACCACCACCTTTTATGGAGCATGAGTAATACGTAGACACTTTTGTTTTGTTTCTGATGGTGCTTTGGAGAAATGTCGCTGGCATCTGGTAGGCAGAAGATAGGCATGCTGCTTAGCATCCTAAGATGCAGAGGCAGCCCTCACAGCAAAATGTTACCCAAACCAAAACTCCAGGAGTGCTGCAATTGAGAAACTCTGATTTGCACACTAAAAGGGAACATAACTAAACCTTGGGACAGTGAGGTCATAGCTACAGTTTATTTTGCTGATTTAAGGAGGAGAGAAAGCTCTGTTGCATGCATCCCTTTATTAGTAATTATATATAATATGTCTGCGACAACACAATGTTTTTGTTACCAAGAAATAAATATTTTTGAAGAATTGTGTGTAGGTTTTAAAAAGCTAAAAGAGCCAAATTTTTTATTAGAGATTAAAGTTGTATTTGGATCTAAATTGGACTGTGTAGATTTTGACAGGATTTGTTCAATAGTTAGAGCTTGTTTTGCCTTGGCCTCAGAAAATACCCTAAGGCCTTGAAAAACAATGGCTTGTTCACTTCATACCAATCCTACCAGTCAAACAAATTACAAGCAACCTCCAGCATAAGTCTTTCTTCTTATTCACCACTTTTAATATTGGCCTATTTCCTGCCCTGCTAGATGTAACTCAAAATAGCTTCTGTAAAGCAGAGTTCTTTTTCTAAGGGCTTTGGTTCACAACATTCTCTGCGGTTCACAGTTACTTTGGCAAAGCTCGCATGTTGCCTCAATCATTAAACCTAAATATTTCTTAAAATTTCATGTACTTAAAGCCACATTATTAGTTGAATAATTTACATAAATATGGAGAGTTTAAACCTATTTATTGGCTTTGAAAATAAAACAGTCCATGCTTAATCATCTTTTAAATGAGTATACATGTAGCCGATCATTTCTCATATTTATTAAAATAAGAGTAATTAAGTCTACTTAATAATATCCAAACAATCTGGCAATGAGTTTCTCTTTATTCTGGATCATCCCTTTGCGGCGTCAAGTAGTTACCTCAAATTTAGCATGTGCGAAACCAAACCGTCCACATTCTTTCCAAGCACTTTTATATTTTGCCTGGATTTCTGTAATCACCACTAAATATCCCTCCAGCTCCCACCTTCCTTTCCCTACAGCACTCAGCAGCCAATGTGATGTTAAATTTGAAATCATAACATCACATCTCTGCCTAGAATTCTTCAGTGACTTCTCATCTTACACAGTCAGAATCCCCTCAGTGGTCTGTAAGATTTTACACCCCAGCCTTCTCCCCCTGACCACAGTGCCCTCTTTCTGCACTCACTTGCTCTGTCGCATGTAATTTTAGGGTCTCTAGCTTGTGCTCCACCCGCTAGCATGCTCTTCCCTGAGTAAATACTTCAACTCAAGTCTTCAAATCCCAGCTTGTCAAAGAGGTCCACTTTGCACAGCCTGTTTAGTACTGAAATCTGCTCTCTCTACACCCCAATGCCATTTTCCTTGGCCGTAGCTCCTCCTGCCTTTCCCTCTAGCACCCATTGCGTGCTGATGTAGAATTCATCATTGGTTGTTGGCTCTGTCTGTCCTTCTGCTCACTGATACACTCAAGTGCCCAGAACTTACTAAGTATTCAGTACATATTTGTTGAATTGATGGATCTGAAAATTTGAACTCTTGTATAGATGCTATGAGAATTCCTGGAAGACATAAATTTTTAAAAGGCTGAAATCTTATGGTTTATCAGTTTTTCTACGGTCCCTGAAACCCTGAGAATTCACACTGCTTCTCATTCTCATGGACCTTGGTGCCATCAGATTTTACAGTTTTAATCTGATGGGACTGAAGCACCATATTGTGTACTTAATTTGCATCTCCTTTGTACACTATTTTTCCTTTTTACATCCTTTTGGTTGTAGCGTCTTTTCATAATCTATTGGAGTTCTTTATTCTGGTTGTTGTTCCTTTCTTGGTTATGTATCATAAAAGTCCCCTGGGCCTGGAAATTCCAGCTCCTCACAAGGTGTGGTGGGAGGGCCAGGGGTGAGGGCAGCCCTGAAGGGTCCAGGGGCAGATGACTGGCGTTATTAAACTTTGAGACTTTGTATCCACCATGAAATTGTGTGTAGATATTAGACAGCGTTCTTAAAAACAGTTAAGTTATATAATATACATTTTACTCTTGTGCAGTTATAATGTGCTTTCACAAATAGCATTCTTCTTTGCAGTGTCCAAAAAAATCATTTTCTAAGAATTTATTCCTCCATATGTTACTCTTTGAGTCTTTGATGGGAGCAGTGAGATTAAATGGAGGGTCAGCTTTGTGAAAGTCATTTTATTTCCTTAAGAGTAAAATCCTGAACATACCATCAGATGGGTCAGAAGAGACAGATGGAAACAAAGATGAGTAAGACTCACCAAGCTATCAAGGAGCGCAGTCCAGGAACTGGTGACTCAGTGGTGGTTCAAGAATATCCCATAACAATATGATAAATGTCTGTGGAGA